CAATGTACCACAGAATTTCGAAAATTTCGAAAGCAATAAAACTCGATTAAACACTCAAACTCTCGCGCGGTGCTGTTTCAATGCGGTATTTGTGATGGAGCATCTTATTCATCGCTCGAAAAAGTGATTTCACGAAACTAATCGCAGAGTTCAATGAAAAACTTGCTGACATAAAAATTTAAAAAGAAAGAGTTCAAAAGGAGACTGCGGCCGAGTATTAATCTCAACACAAATCCAAAGGTCGTCCATGTAGTACTACGCGGATGAAGATTTGGCTCATCAATTAGGAGATTGGTTGATGAGGCAATTATGAAGAAAAGAATGCGTACATGTAGATCACAAGAATAGCCCAATCGTCGAATCGACTTATCGCCTGTGTGCCGAATCGCGGAATCCTAGCTGCCTCGTAGAAGGAGACTGATTTATATGCACTGACACTAAATCCTTCCATAAGAAATTACCGAATCTTCTCAGTCTCTGAGTCGTTCCTTAAGGTATGGAGCCATTACGATCTCGCGCAATTCCATTCTTCCACAGGACGAGAGACAAGAAGCTACTTCGCCCCGGCTCAGCAATTCCCGCCTGCAATGCATAATCGTGAAACACTTCTCCAAAAGCTGTAAATATGCTCTCTCGAGCCCATTCGTACAAAAGTCTCGTATCCGTGCCATTTCTTTGAAATATGAAAAGTAAGGCCCAAAACGACCGCTCCTACCACCTCAACAACGCCGGCTCTACGTTAGGCCGCATTCATATCCTTTTCGTGCGATCGTAGGATCGCAAAACGGACTCATTTCTGACCCACCTCGACCTGCAAGTGAACTGCAAAGGATTTGCAAGTTAGCACCGCGACCCTCCTGATAAGCCCCAGGTGAACTGACACGTAAAGTCGCACAGGATCCAGCTTTGCGAATCAAGAAAAGAGGAGAAGTGATGCAAGAGTACTAGTAACCAGAGTATTACCAGAAGCTCAACCATATGAGTTATAATGATCTCTTCCCATACAGGTGATGAGTATTTTGCCTTGAGTATCTTTCTTAAGCAAAAGATTATGAAAGAATGCTTAGGAAATGTGAGTTCAGCTCGAATGAAGACTACAGCACTGACCATGATGCGGCCAAATGTGGTGAATATATAGCAATACAAGGTAAGGAACTATAACCCCTTTTGAAGGAAGAGCACGTAACTCGCCTAACACTATATTTCCTGCCAACAGGTGAACAATAACAGCAAATGATTTGCAACAATGAGAGCCATTAAAAGCCCAACAGACAGGAGTAACAATTAATTGTTACAGAACTGGAACAACACGAAGAATTCTCACCAGCAAATCGCGACCAAAATAAAAATCACAACGTAGTAACGTAACGTAATGAACATGAGCAACACATGAACAGGAAGATAGAATGTACACAAAATTACCGTGGTTCCACCGATATTCTACCCATATTTTACGATAGGAGAAAACAACTGTAACAATAACAACACATTTCCATGCCTAGGGGCTGGAATAACAAGGTGGGAAGGTGAGTTAATCAAAGACTGCAAAAATATCCACATTACTTTGACTGACCAAATAGTGGCCGCAATATGAAGGAATCGAATTTCAGCGCGACACATATAAACGAGACACATATAGCTAAAATATAAAGAATACATATATAGAGTGGATAGCTATGTTTTATGATTGCTCAATTGTGAGCTAAAAATGGAGGTGGATGGGGTAATTGACTGACCAGTGAAGAAAACAAAAGAATGCAAAAAACAGCTTTAACACTGCTGCACATTCTACGATACCGTATGGGCGAAATCCGTTTGCACTACTACGTCCTTTTTATTGATGGATCCTATCCCTTCGTCTCCGGATAGGGATCGATCAACTAGGAAAGACGCAGTGGTGCACCTGAGTTCGTCCACAGATCGGTGCAGAGTGCGTTTTAAAAAATTTTAGCAGGTTGGTTCACTTTCTGTATTCGATCGAAAATAACCAGATCTGAACAGCCCTCACTAAGCAAATAAGGAACTTGTTTTTAAGATGAAGATTGGCAGCATTTACCATCCGAATAACGCATGATGCACTGAGAACCATAAATTACGAATAAACCTATTCGATGGGCGTTTCCGCAAGTGCTGCCAACAGCTCGGCTCTTCGAGCGTCTGCTTCAGCAGGTAAAGGTACTGTATGAAACCTAGGCCACCAGTCGCATCTCTGGGCCCATATTGGTACAAGCAAGCTAGGGTTGACTAGCTGTACAACAGTATGAAGTAGAACCCAAGCCCGAGCAGAGCCTCTATTCGAACCGTAGTCAAGGAATCGGAACAGCGCATCGACACAACGTGACAGGACCTCGGTTCTTTTACCATACCTGAAACATTCCTTTTGAGACATGCTGTGAACTACGCAAAAGAACTATAACTCGATGACCTCTCCGGACGCTCAATACGTGACTGGCACCAATCTAACCAAGCCGGATCGCTCGGAGAAAGAGTAGTGTTCTGCATGCTGCAAACCTGCAATGGAAAGAACCCAATCACCAGAAGAATTCCATCTAAGATTATCAAGTAGAAAGGAATTGAAGAAATTTAGAGTAATAGGAGCCAAGATTCATACTTCATCCACAACTAATTCGACCTCATGATCGAAATCGATTGCTTGGAGAAATCGTGTAAACCGTCCGAGTAGTTGAGGACACTTCCTGAGGATTTTCGAAATAGCTTCAGCTCTGGAAGAACTCTTTATTGGAATTAGTCCAACCAAAAGAAAGAAGACCTCGAGGAGTAACTTTTCAGAGGGGTTTTACAGGAGGAGATAAGTGAACAAAAGATGGAATGAATGAGCTCTGCTTCTCTACCAGCACTGACACGATTTAGATCACAGACTTGTGGTTGTGCGTGAGAGTTATTTGGGCTTCGTAACCAACTTTATCCAGATGGTTTTACTCATCGAACCTATCATGAGACAAAGTGCCTTGTGAAAAGGTTCAACTTCGAGTCGAGCAAATTCCCATCTTTCAAAATCGATACATCTCAAC